TGCCAGAGAGGAGGTGGCGGGCCCCTTTGGGGGGAGGTGCCGCCAGCCTCTGAGAGCTGCGTTTTGTATTTGTGTTAAGAATCCAGGAGGAATAACTGCCTGTGCTTCATTTGTGACTGGTGGAGTATTATTTTTAAGAGCCTTTTCACTAGTTTTAATAATTTCTTGAATATCTGGATCCAAGGGATGGGCTTTAAGGATATCGTGAATTAAATTCCAATAGGAGAAAGTAGTCACAGGGACCTTTTCTGGCCCAAATGTCTGATAATAATCTTTTAATGCATCTCCCACTCTATCCCATTCTTTGGCAGGGGCAGGTGTCATGGATGAAAATAAAAAACTGTTTAAATCTTTTTCTTGAGACCTTAATACCTCGTGCTCTGAGAGACTCCTTGAGCCCCTGAACAAACTGTTCCTGGGAGCTAGAAGTATTGCCCATGCCTCTTAAATATAGCCCCTGCATGAGCTTCGCCGGTCAGTATTTGTGCTGACACACATCCGAGAGACCCGGTCGCCTTGTTGTAACCGTAGGTCTCTGGTGGATGGCTTAGGAGGAACAATACACCGCTCCTCCTACTCAAAGCAGGCTGGCAGATCTTGTCAGAGACTGGGGTCCCTACCTTCAAAGGGACTGATACCGAATGCTTGTTTGTGTGTAATGCGTCTGTTCATCTTACCAATGCGATCTGTCTCACGGCGGTCGACCGTGGCGATCCCGAGAATGATCTGTCTCACGGCGGTCGACCGTGGCGATCCCGAGAATGATCTGTCTCACAGTGGTGGACTGTGGCGATCCTGAGACCGATCTGTCTCACAGCGGTGGACTGTGGCGATTGAGGGGGTTGCCTGCGCAGGCCAGTTGGAGGAACCGACGTTCCTTCTGGATCTCCCCGCTCTTCTCTCAAGCTGGGCTCGTGCCCACGTTGGGCGCCAGGAATGTCCCGACCCACAGGACACTTCTACAGTGGCGCAACCAGTGGGGGTCCTAGAAGGAATGACAAACAAGGAACACGAAGAAAGAGAGCAAGACAGTGTTCTGATCAAGCTCCAAAATTTTATTTGAAAGCAGCAGACATATATACTGGTAGTGGAAAAGGGGGGGGAGGTGAGGAGAAGGAAAGTGCTGGGCAGACACTAATTGGTGTTGTTGGATGCTATAGCTAGGGAGGGTTATTCAAGGGGCATTTCTTATCCTAAAGGAACATCTGCTAACTGTTATTTTCCCAGGACTAGCATCGGTAGTAAATATTTCTCAAGGCTGACTTGACCTGGGTCACAAGTTGTTTTCCCACATTCCTCAACCAGGTATTATCTTATAGAAACTTACAGAAAACCATTAAGACTGTCTTTTCTCAAGGCCATAAAGATTTGTAGGAAACCATAAAGCTGCCATAAAGATGTTTTTCTTCTGGCCTTTTGGCTCCCAACAGTCTGGCTTGGCAAAATATGTCTAATAGTATAATTGTGGCATGAATGTTACAGGGAGAATATGCTAGAAATATTCTACTAAATGAAACAATAGTAAAATGACTTCTAATGACTTATTGCTCTACCTATAGATCAGTGCATGTCTCAGTCCTCATCAAAGAAGCGTCTTCTTGCAGTAGAAGGCTCTTATAGAGGCCCACAGCTGGTCAGTGTGTGGAGAATGAGAGTGCACAATGCTCTGCCCTAAATGGACACCTATATCGCACCCCTCTCTCCAAGGTTCAGGAATCTTCATGGAAGAGGGAGCTGAGAGATTGTAAGAGGGAGAGGTGGTGGATAATTGCAAGGAAACAGTGTTTTCCAGAGAGCAGGGTAGTTACACATAAGAAGTCACAGCAATTGTGACAGCATGCACAAGACCTGCTCAAACTCAAGCCAGACCAAACCTCAGCATGGACTAGGGAGTTGGGCATGAAGTCCCACCTCTAGATTAGGAGCTATTTGCATATGATAGCTGCTTGGGAGAGGAAGAATCAAGTTTTTAAGGGTGTGGCCACTGGTAGGTTGACCGTACTCCAGGGGATGAACCTACTGCCAAGAGTGTTTGGGCAACACAAATTGGACTTGAGTGGGAAAGAAGTTGGGTGGGCGGGAAGGTGGAGGTGGATCTGGGAGGAGTTGGGGGAAGCGGGGAATATGATCAAAATGTATTGTATAAAGCTCTCAAAAAAACAATAAAAATATTAATCAAAATTTTTAAGCCAACAAAACTCACAGAACTGGCAAGTGACAGAACGAAATCCCCCTTGTTCTGCTCCACTTAACTGCTAAAAACCAAATTCATAATAGATTATGTGCAGATTGCAGTGGTTAAACATTGATTCTGCACAGGACCCTGTGCTGAGGGTTTTAAGCCAATTAATAAAATAAACAGCCTCAGAACATCCTTATGATACAGGCTGGTAATATGACTCTACATATGAGGAAACTGAGGCTCAGGACTTTATGATCAGAAACAAGACGGTAACAAGGTAAAGCAGCATCTGGTTCTAAACACGTGCTCTCCAGGTTCTGAGGGATTCTCTGTCCTCACTGTGTCTTTATCTAGCCTCAACAGTCAAATGTTCGAAGGTGTTGTGTGAAGGGCTGAGGGTCACTCACAGATCACAGCCAGCCTGAAGGCATCACTCTTGCTGGGAGAGACCAGGTTGGCAACCTCACACTGATAGTCCCCAGCATCTTCCTTCATGATGGGGTCTATGATGAGCCTTCTATTGATCTGGGACAGCTTCATCCTCTCTGTGAGCCTCAGACTCTGGACATTGAAGATCCACCGGACAGGGGCTGTAGTGTCATCTGAGAGGCAGGTCAGGTTCGTGGAATCCTGTTTGGTGACTGTGGTGTTGGTGGCTTGTATGGAGGGTTTTGTCACTGGCTTTGTGGGGGCTGAAGAGGAATAGTCCTACCTCAGGGATCTCAGTCAATGTTTGAAGCCCATGGTATGAGATATAAGGTGATCCTGACCCTCTGAAAGGTCTGGATTTAGAGAATGATTTTGAGGAAGAGAAATGTACTTCCCTCTGACCAGGTCTCCCCAATTACATTGATGGTCTCTATAGATTCCATACCAGAAACTGCTTCTCAGGTAATGAGCTGAGCATCTCCTCATCAGATGAAATATTTTGTGCCAACTCTTGCTAGTATTTTCTGTGATATGAATTATCTGTCCCCTCTATAATGTGGTAGCTTTACATTGAAAGAGAGGATATTTTGTTTTTATAAATAATTTGTCATGGAATTAAGATGGTCAAATATCTTAAGATATTAAGGTCCCAACCTTAGGATTGGGAGAAATTCCAAAGTAAAGAACTTTGAAGAGTACTTTTACCTCCTATGTGTGGATGAAAGATCTCATTAAAAGAGATTTGGAGAGGGGACTGTGCACAGTGTTAATAAAAGCCCACGCTCTTATCCCTCCACCCCCAAATACAGGCTACTGGCGCTTCCTTTCCCACCCCCATAGGGTTCCACAGCGAAGCTCCTGTTCTGCAAGTGAGCGCCCCTCACTGGTTTTGGTACGCCTTAAGCTGGTGCCCACAGTTCACACGGCTGAGTCTTCAGAGCCAGGACTCAGCTCAGAGGCGTCTATCCCAGGCTTCATTTTTCCCACTTCCTTGAACCAGAAGCTATGGTGTCATTCAGGGATGTGTTTTATCCTGATTCTGGACAGGCCTCCCAGACACATTCTCCTTTCTCCCATCCCCACCCGAATGGAGTCAGAGCAGAGCCAGTTCCCTAACGAGACAGGAGCAGCGTTAGGGACACATTGTGAGCTGCCTGTCCCCCGTCTGTGTGGGGTTTTCTCCACTTATTTGTAGCCTTGTGCTCCTTTTAAGACATGGAGGTATTAAAAAGAAGTGGATGAATCAGGAGGGTGTGGTTTTGTGTCAGAGAGAAATCTACTTAAACTTAAAGATCGCCCTCCCCCAGAAAAGTCCCTCCTATTACCTCAGGCTTTGAAGACCTGTGAGAACCACTCCTCACTTTTCAGTCTGGATCCCTGGTCAGCCAGGAGAAGTCAGAGATCAAGAAGAGGATGAGGAAACTCAGGGATGGGGAAGGATGCTCAGGAGAGGGCACAGAGTTAACATCGTCCACATCTTTCCAGAAAACCAAAAGTCTACAACAAACCTTGGGGTTGATATTTTAGGAATACACTTACTTACCAAGGACTGTAATTTTCTTGACTGCGGACCTGTTGAGGTCAGTGGAAGAGTTACAGATGAGGCAGGTATAGGATCCACTATTAGTAGTGATGTTGGTGATAAAGAACTCTTGCGAGGATGCCTGGGGCTTCCCATTGATAAGCCAAGAACACTGTACAGGTGGGTTAGAGGGGATGTGGCAGGAGAGGTTGATGTTTGTCCCTGAGTGGAACTGAGTTGAAAGGGGTGTGATGAGGACACCTGGGTCGCTTGGAACAAACAGAGTAACAACACATGTGGTATCATTAGAGGAACAGTGAAGATTCTCATCTGTAGAAGCCTGTAGCATCTCTCTGAACTGTGTTACCACCTCAATTAAATAGGTCCCAACCAGGGCTGTAGATGGGACAGCATTTACCTAACATGCACAAGGTCCTGTTTCATCACTAGCACAACACACACACACACACACACACACACACACACACACACACACACACAATCCATTATGTGTTCTTTGACTCTGAGTTCTTCCCTGTTTCTCCATCACAGGTGATAATGCTGTGCTTTTCCAGGGAAAAGAGGGCCCTCCGTCCTATTCTTGGCTTAAGGCTAGCCCTGGCTTGATGTACTTGAGCCAGTAAAGGATGCTATAGCCAGGTAAGGTGTCCATGTGTTGAGTCTGTGTTATGAACCCAAGAAGGACTGAGCAGCCTGGCTCTAGCCCTGTGTATTTAAGTAGTTGTAGCCATGAAGGAATAGAGGTGACTCATAGGTAACATTCAGGGTGACTGGGTCACTGTGGTTGGCACTCACTGTGTTCCAGGTTCCGCATTCATAGGGTCCTGTTTCATTCCTCATGACACTGAATAAAGTGGGATTCTTGCTGCCCTCGGACAGCTCCAGCCTGTCACCATCTGAGAGACTCTGACCATTTATCCTGCAGGTAGGTCGTGTTTTGAGTCCCAGGTTCACAGGTTAATGCTACAGAGTCCTCATCCTCCATGGGATTGGAGCTGTTGCTTGTGATATTAGGCTTGGGTAACAAAGGATGGTCTGGCAGATCCACGATCTCTGGTGGGTAACAGTAGGGCTCAGCAGGATGAGGACAGCTGGGATGCAGCTGAACCTGGAGTCCTGACTCGGGATCCATGGGTGGCAGGTGAGCATCCACAGGGACAGATGGGTTGCACGGTGTCTGTTGCTGTGGACTGGAGGGTGCTAGAGGCCTTGATTGTTCCACATGTTCTCCCAGATCCCCAGCTCGTGTTATGACCCAAGGCTGGTGCTGGCCTTGCAGCAGGCTGAAGTAAACAGAAATGACTACATGCTGGTTTCATCTGCCTTGCACAGATTTGGACAAAATTCAGTCTGTCTCTGTCATGCTCACAGAAGTGCTACAACTTACAGAAAAGGGACTGGAGAGATGGCTCAGTGATTAAAAGCACTCACTGCTCTTACAGAGGATCCAGGTTGAATTTCCAACACCCATATGGCAGCTAACAACTGTTCAAAACTCCAGTTCCAGGGAATCCGATGCCTTCTTCTGTCCTCCAAAGGCATTATACAACATGAGTGCACTTACATACATGCAGGTATAACATTTTCACACATAAAATATAAAAAAAAAATTTTAAATATTTTGTTTATTATTTTTATTTGTATGTGTGTATTGCCTGCATGTAGGTAAGTGCACCCATGTCATGCAATGTCTGCAGAAGACAGAAGAGGCTGTCAGATCCCCTGGAACTGGAGTTATGGACAGTTGTTAGCTGCCATGTGGGTGCTGGGATTCGAACCTGGGTCTTCTGCAAGAAGAGTCAGTGTTCTTAACCACTGAGCCATCTCTCCAGCACCAGAAAGAAAGATTTTTAAAAACAACTTACAGAAAAGAGGTAACAAAAGCCAGGAAACACACACATACAAACAGAAACTGTGCGCTCTGGCCGCTGGAGCTGGGGGACAGTCTTTCTCCTGTCTCCAGAGTCCTTAACACCAACCACTTCACTCCCCGCATGGAAATTCTCACAGAGATCTAATACCCACCAGCTCTACCATGAAGCCAGGTCCACAAGAATGACCACGCCCACTTCTACATGGAGCGATTCAAGCCCTACTGTGCACCGCCCCCCAGCCTCCCACGGAGTCTCCTCTCACCCTGCTTCCCCCATCCTTCCCCACGACCCCTCTTCCCCTGCCTCTGCAATCTTCTGTTCCATCACCTGAAGATGTCCTTTGTCCAAGGCCAGCCCCCCCTGTGTCCTCTCCCCTGCTCACTTTGTTCTTCAGGCAGGAAGCGTCCACTAGAGGGCGCACACCCTCCTCCTTGAGCCCATGTGACCCTCGTCATCCCTGAGACAAACACAGCTGCTCCTGCTGCCCCAACCCCAGTCCTCAGAGGGGCTCTGGGTGGAGCTCCTGGGAAGTCACCAGGCCACAAGGCGAACCTCACTTGGAGAGTGTGGTGACATGGCCTGGCCTGGACAGGAACAAGGCCAGGGGTCAGGTCATTGGGGAGGGGGAAGGGTCCAGGTAAAGTGGCTGAATACTCACGCTCTGATGCCCCCAGAACAGACTTCAGGTTCCATGCCCTGGTGCGAGGTGGGCAGTGGGGGCACCATCAGCTTGTTCCAGGAATTCTCAGCCTGTGCAGCTGCTGCAAAGATGTGCTGTGTTGGGAAGAGTTCCTTCCCCCAGGGCATCTGGACCCAGTTCCCCGCTGTCCCCACCTTGCTTTGTGCCTTTGGTTAGAAGGCCACACTCTCCTTGTAGGCCCTGCCCTTTCTGAACCCCAAACCCAAGCCCCGTCTATACTCTCACAGAGGTCCCTGAGCTGGCTGTTCCAGGGACACTGTGGAGGTTTTTCTATTTTGTTTTGTTTTTTAATATTTTTGAGTCAGGGTCTCCCTGTAACCCCAGCTGGCCTTGAACTTGCTATGCGAACCAAGCTGGCCTCAAACTCACACTGATCCTCCTGCCTCTGCCTCCCGAGTGCTGGGACTAAAGGTGTGTGCCACCATGCCCAGCATGATTGCTGCATTGCTGGTACAGGAGGGAGGCATCTCTAGGGATGGACTGTGAGCGTGTTCTGCAATTCAGAGTTCACCCTAATGTGTCTCGCCCTGGGCCTGTGTCCCCTATTGTAGATATACCTGGGGGCATCTTTCCAGGGTGATGTGGAAACACAAAGCAGGCATGAACTTGTCCCCTCAGTAGCTGTCTCTCATAAGGTCTCATCCCCAGGTGTCCCTCCCCCATGGAAACCTCCTGTCCCTGATCCATACACGGCCCTTTAGGGAGATGTCTCCAAGCCAGGCAGGCTGATGTGGCAGTGGTCTGTAGCCATGGGTGGGAACCTTGCTCAAGGCTGCCCCTCCATTCAGGAATGCGTTTCATTCCAGGGCCTCAGCTTGATAGCTGGGCTCTCTAAACCTTTCTCCCCCTCTACTAAGGTCATGGGGGCGGGTACACAGTCTGAAGCATCTGCAATCTGTAGTGGCATCAGTCTTAGCTCAAGTCAGAGTGCAGGAGCCCCCACACCTCTTGCTAAGGAGAGTGAGAACTGTTGACTCCCAGAGTAGATCATGGGGTCCCACCTGCCCCGCATGTGATCGCGGCTCACCCAGGGAAAATACCGCTCATCTCCACAGCATTCAGGACACATCTGAGACCCAGAGGGTGAGACACTGAATGGGGCCTTAGGCCAACATAAAGACAATGTCCGTCTGTGCTTTTGGACATTTATTGAGTAACCCGAGTCCTGACACAAAGATTTTCCACCTGATTTCATTGATTGTTCACAGCAGATTTATGAAGCGAATCAGGGCCATTGCTTATAAGGAGAAAAAAATGATTTAGCATTTAAATCATAGGAGGGGCATGAAAACCTCACAGTCAGCCTGAGGGTGTCACTCCTGGAACAGACTGAATTGAAGACCTCACACCAATAGTCCCCAGCATCCTCCCTTATAACAGGGTCTGTGCTGAGCTGGCTGTTCTAGGACAGCATCATCCTCGCTGGAAACTGCAGGCTCTTGTCATTGAAGATTCTAGATTCCAGAGTTATCTGAAAGGCAGGTCAGATCACAAAATCCTGCCCTCTAATTGTGATGGTGGTGGTGGTGGCATGCCTGGAGGGCTGTGTCACTTGTCCTGTGGATAAACAGAGAAGGACTAAGAGTGGGGCAGGGACAGACCACAGACCTCACTCAGAGATCTCAGCCGGTCCTCAGGGCCACAGTGAGCTGTGTGAGTGGCCCAGAGGGTGGTCCTGGCCCTCTGCAGAGGTTTAACTGATGGTCTCTAAGCAGAGGGATGCATCTTCTTCTGACCCCAGGTCACCCAGGATGACCCCTATCTGTACATCTCTGTAAGACACACACCTGGAACTTCTTCCTAGCTCGTGTGTCTAGCACCTTGATCATGAGATCCTAATTTCCATATGACCTTTTCTAGAACTGTTTTGGCTTTCTTAAACATCAGATCCATCTCTTCACATCCACTTCCGTGTGTATCAAGGAAAGCTGGCTTGGGGGCCTGCCCATGTCTGGGGCCAGGGAAGATTTACATAAAACAGCTAGGCATTTATATTTGGTTAGGTCATTTACGGGGGAACAAAGGCACCACAGACAAGTGCTGTGGACTTAGAGCTGGAGACTTCCGACTTAAAGGATTTCTCAGTCTAGGAGGACTTTCATTTCCTGACCTGCGGGCTAAATGTCACAGTGAAAGAACTCTCCATAGGGAAGTAGTCACGGTTTCAACAAAAGACGGAGCTTCTTAGGAATAGAGGGAACTACCTGAGCACAGCAAAGGCCACATGTGAACATCTCAAAGGTCACCTGATGCTTAGTGATAAAACTTTGAACACTTTCACCCTAGGACCAGGAAGAACACAAGGCCACTTCTCAATGCAGTACTGGACATTCTGTATAGAAAAACTAAGAAAGCAAATAAGCAGCCACTTAAAGTTCTGAGAAAGAAGGAAAACTATTCTGTGTACAGACAACATGATTTTATAAGTAAAGCACCCTATAGTACCACAAAAAACTGTTAAAATACCAAATTGACAACAAAT